GCAGACAAACCAATAAGAAGTGAATGACTTTAGTTAACCACAGAATATTTCTAAGAGGTGACCAAGTACATTACCTTAATTAGTTTTTGCCATATCTGGTTTTCAGTTGTTGGTACACCTGATTGTATGCTTCTACAGGAACTAAACTTAGAGAAGGAATCACAGGATTGGAGGACGAGTTCTGTTTATTGGTTGCCCATTTTACAAGTTTTGGAAGAACATTAACCTGTAGCCAGGATACAGCAGGGTTATCTTCAACGTCTCTGTTGATATCCTCAAGAAGGACATCCATACTTATTCTGCAAGTTTAATAAATAAAACACTCGAACATCTTAATATGCAAACACAGAGGTATAATAAATGTTTATTGGTTGCGAAATGAATCAAAGTAAAAGAAATGTATATTTTAAGAGAATAAAATGTAGGGGGGGGGGGGTAACAGGATTTCAGTTCCTATTGGTCAACCACATCAGAAGTATAACTAACAAACATAAATCAATGGTGCCAAGTATAAGGGCAACCAACAAACATCGCTTCTCAACATAGTCCCCGTTAAATATAATGTATTTCTTCCATCCTTTTGAGAGCTTCATCATTCCAGTTCACTAAAATATGGTTGTGGTGTTATGAATCCAAATGCATACAGCTGTTCTAAAATCAACAATCTACAGATATGTTACGCAGACAGAACATACTTTAGATGATAAACAAATGAAAGTCATAGAATGTTAAGAAACATCTGAATTGTAAAAATTAAATAATTTGTTACAGAATGTTGTTCAAAAACAGCATCAGTTATAGTTATCATTCAGTCATCTCGTATGGAAACATGGAAAATACGAATATTGATTTATTAACATGACCAAAACACAGACTAAGAATTAGCTGATAATTAGTAACTACTAATTATATATATATTAATTAGCAATTAGACTTAGGTGACTGTATAGGCTATTAAACATTACAATAATTGACATTTGTTTGCTACAACCTTACCTTAAGTACTACAAACTCTCTCTCTAGTATGATGGTATTAAAAGAGCCTATTTAAGTGCTAAATTTAAATTCATTTTACATGACACCTTTAATATGAGTAACTATCACAGTAGTATGATCTATTAATGTTACTATAACTTAAATCTGAGTAAAACTTTTTTCTGGGCTATTTTCAAACAAGAAAATTAACAGTGCATGTACTATTCATATACAATCAAGTTACAAGGCATACAATCAACAAGATTAATAATTATGATAAACTAGGTCATCACACCTACAAACCTTTCTTGCTCTGTGTGGGTTATCCTGTAGGTGAAATTGGGAACAACCTTATGTGCTGCACCAATTTTTAGAACAGGGTGAAAGATGACTTGCCTATTGGTTTCATCTAAAAATTATGATAATGTAAAAAACAATTGTGTTAAAATTTTACCTACCAGTAAGTGAAGAACTAGTCAATCTAAAGAAGTTACTGACTAGTACAAGAACAAAAAATTATCTAATTATTGCACAAAACTATAAAATTGAGCTTCCAAATGTTAATTAACTAAACATCACAACAAGTCTTAAAAAGTTTAAAAAATGTTTAGTGAAAGATGAATGTATTATACCAAAGTTGGCAAAAAAGAAGAAAATGGGAGACATCTATTTCAAATTATCAAGGAAAGAAATAAGAAACCTGTATAAAGGAATCTTGAAAATTATTGCTGACAAATAGTGGTGTACATTTACTTAAGCCTAAGATGCCTGGGAACTATCCAAGCTTATTTAAGAGGTTGGGCATGCCTGGTACTTTCTGATTTTCTTTTTTAATTATTTATTGGAAAAAACAGTTAATTATTTAATTGAATGAAACTTAGAGAACACTGAACAGAAAAACAATCCTTCTGTGTGCTTCACTTAAAAACTGTCCCGAGAGAAATTTGCTTGCTGAGACATTACTCGAAATTATCCTTTTCTGGAAATCCTACAGACAAAACACTTCTTTTAGGTCAACATCACTGTTAGAAATTATATTTAATAAGCTTTTTTCTGCAGATTTTTTGTGGACAGCATCAGGAACCTCACTTTTAAAAAAAAGAGAGGAAATACAAATGCCTTGACTGCACAAATGTACATTTCTTCATGTACATTTCTTATATGAACAATAACTATAATTAATCTAATAACTTAGTGAAAGTTTTCGCCATGTAAAACACTTTGAAGTAAAAAGAGATGCAAGAATTTGACCACAACCCTTAAAATACTGATATTTCATAGAATAATTAATCTTGTTCACATTGTACGTGTAAATAATGCTCTTAATGCAGTTTAGAAGAACTTTTTTTCATACTGGTTTTTCTGTAAAATACATTTTGTGTCAAGTACAAAGCCATTCATTTTTGGAACATGGATATTTTAATTTTTTATTATTAAATGTATGGTAAAAAAAATTCTTTGTTTGCTAAGATTGGAAGCAGTTTGATTCACAAATTCCTACTACATAAAAGTGTGCTTATAAATATTTTACAAAACAATATTTCACTAGTTTATTTCCTTACCAATTACTGCTATCTCCTGTGCTTCTGGGAATTTTTCTGGTTGCTTAGGAAGTAGTTGTCGAACTTGTAAATACACTGCATTACCACTGTTCCAGAATAATTGCTCACATGGCACAAGTTTCCATTTTTCCTGGAAGATGTGTATCTCAGATGCAATATCCATTGTCTGCTTTGTGCAATTTATCAAATCAATAATCTTGTCTGCATCATCATGAGCAAAACATTGCTGGTAGGTATGACAAAGAGGTTGAACATCTATCACATATGTGTTAAGAGGTTTAACAGCCATTAATCTTCTGTTCACAGTGTGTGGTTGCTCTGTCCACACCTTGAGGGCAATCCAGAAATCTGTTTCCTTGACCTCACTGCTAGATTCAACAATGCTTTTCCACACATATTTCAATTTTGGTGTTTCTAAACAAAAATAAAATCATTTTTTAAAATATTAATTTATATAAATTATACTTCATTCTACAGTTATTGTAAATTGCAAGAACATGTAAAAAAAAACATTCACTACAATAAAACTGCCACAAAGTACTTTTTTAAACACACATAATATATGATGTACACATAAATCCATAAACAACACTGACTAAGGTAATGTGCATAACTTTTTTCCAATTGCTGTACAAACACAACAATGACCAGTCACTCATACATTAAATATAGAATGAAGAAATCAAACATGATAGAAGTATTAGAAACTTTCCTATCAATGACAGGTATGTTACACATAGGTTTTAGTTAGTTTAAAGCTTCTTGTTACCCTTGCAATCATGTCAGTGTTTGTGCATGCATATCTCAAACTAATAGACCAATGTGCACAAACATTTTGCACAAGACGGGAAGTCAGTACGGGGCAGTCCTCCCCAAATTTGGTCCACATTCAGATTCTAGATCACTTTGAAGAATTTTTTATAATGTGGAGATGGGGTATTTTCATGGTCTTTGGTTAATAACTCTGTAAAGTGTGATTGGATTTGTACGAAATTTCATGGGCACGTTAAGGTTGAGACTTCTCATAACACTACAAAAAATTATCTGGATCACTGATCCTTCTGGATCTGAGAAGGTTTTTTCTGAGTATTCGAAGGTGAAATTGTACATTATCCAATACAAATGCATGCAGTCTCGAAAAGGAGCAGTGGGAAAGGGTATGCAATCTTTTTGATTACTCTTTTTTTTCCAGTGGTTTTGTTTGAAAAATGTTGCCTTAAATGAATGAACCGATTTATGAAGCTTCATTCCTATACTTTATATTTTTGTCTGTTATAACACTCAAGTTATAACACTGACAAAAAAATATTTTTTTAAGTAAAATACAAAATGGACCACAGCAGTAATTTATAGGATTAATTCCAATATTGATGGTATTTTTGTTTATATTTTGTGTGACTAATGTGTTATGACGGACACTGTAACCATAAAGCCATGAATCCATAAACAAGTTGTTACGTAACAAAATGTTTAAAAATGCCAATGGGGTCATGGAACCCAATATTCATTTTAGGGTTAAACTGATTACCGTGTACTTCCAAATAGTAATTGATAAGGTGTAGCACAAGAGATTAATTAGTGTGTTGGATGATTGTTTGTAGTGCTGGAGAAAGGATTGAAGTCAATGAAAATATTGGGTAAGTAACAGAAAATAGTAAGTGGTAATAAATGGCACAGGTGTGGTATTTTTGGAGTTAATCTTAGGACTTATATTATTCATTATTTATATCAATGATTTCAATAGCTTATTTGATAGTCAAGTTTCAAAATGTGTTGATCATATCTTTATGCTGATAGAGGATAATTCTACTTAGAATATATCTTTTATTCAAAAAGAACCTTGACAAACTTTGTGTTTAGATCAAAAGGACTAATGTAAAACAGCCAGCTAAAAATGTTAAATGTAAGCAAAATGTTAAAAACTGACTGTGCTCTTAAAGGATGCTGGTGGCAAAGTTTTTGATTAAGACTATAAAATTCATAATTTAAATGTTTCTTTCTCTTTGATTTTTAAAAGTTATTAGCAATATTCCTGACACTAACTATTCTATGAGAAATATTGGAATTAACCCTGAGACAAGGTTTTTCCCAGGATTTTAAAGAGGCTCAAAGATCAGGTATGCAAGCCTCTTTCTTCCACTTTTGGTAGATCAACAGACAGTAGACAGGTACCTGAGGATTAGCAATTATTAATATTACCCTCATTTTTAGAAGGGGTGATATAGAAATGCTCTTGAAATTATACGCCATTTAGTCTTTTACTTCTGTTTTGAGAAACCTTCAGAAGAGCTTGATAAAAGAAGCTTTACAAAATCAATTAGAGACGTATGAATCATAAATTCATTAAATGAAAATACTGTCTTACTAATCTGTTATCTGTATTTTTCAAAGTTGTTATTACTTATCATGAAGCACAGTAGTGGTTCATAATAGGGATTGCTATTTGTTCTTCATTATAATTATTTAATATTGTTCCACCAGCTTACAGCAAAATGGCTGTGAGTAATGTAATAAAACCTGGACAATATTACTGAATGCATCATTGCACATTATGTAGTTTATTTGACTACCTACCAAATAACAGCAACTGTATAACTGTTGAAACCCAATTGTTTTAACTTATGTAGTCTGTGGTTTATATGGAGCCTCATAATCTAATATACAAGCATATGTATATAGCTGCATGCAGGCTGTGGATGTAATTTAATGTTTATATAGCAGACATGACAAATGTACCATAGTGATTATTAACTTATCATTGCAACTGTATTAATGTCGTATATCACTTGTTTATGTATAGGGTTCCTGCCCTTTTGGACATGATGCTGTTGACAGGATCACAGTTTTATTTACCTCTGCATGATCAATTTCAGCCATGTTATGCATACGTCTAAAATTTTATACAAACATCTAGGCTGTTTCCCACAAAAGAAATCTATAATTTAAAAAAAATAGCACTAAACTCAGTTTCAAGCATCGGATCAGCAATCACGGTGATAAGTGTCAAATTACAGCCAACACTGCTTGATTGCAAATTTTATAAATACTGCAGATAGAGTAGCCAACCTTGAAGCTGACTATAAGGAGTGGCAAGAATCGTGCAAGCAGGAGATGGCAATTCTAGGAGAAAGCAAGGCTCAAATTTTGTAGCTATATATTTTGAGAAAATATTTAGTTTCAGATAAAATATGCAGTAGTGGCATTCCACCAGAGTTTAGGGTTGTCACAATGGAAGAGAGCCATTGAAGTGTCACAAACCAAACTACATCAAACATTAAGGGGAGAAAGGTATATTAATATAATCAATTCATAATTGTTAATTAATATGTTTTCGACCTTGTTGAGTATGCAGAATGTCACTCTCAAGAGGAAATCTGGCCAACTGCAGCAATTATGTGACTGGCATTACTATGACCAGCAGAGAGGAGGAGGAAGAAGAGGGAAATATAAGCACTATAAGAAATATTAAAAATGCTTATTTGTATTATATTATGACACATTATATTATATTATGACACATTGTCTTATGTTTGCATTGAATATATATGCATGCATCTATACATCTTGAAAATTTCACATGGCTATGTATACAGCTTTACAACTTAAAAACAACTATAAAGTCTGCATGGATATATACATATAATATAAATACTAGCCAACATGCATTGCATGTGCATGTATGTGTAAAACACATGCAGTTACAAAATCCAGTCCATGCACCATTCCAGTATAGTTCACTAGTCCCTCCAATCCAGTGTTTTCAGACTCCCATATAGCTACAGAGTATAAATATAGTAGCTATATATATTTTACAAGCATATACATAATACATATTGATCACCATGCATCAAACTGATCATACATACAGTACCAATATCAATTACATTGTTGCAATGATATCAGGAGTAATAGCCATCAAATCTGCATGAAGCCAATCCAAGGTTATCATTGTTTCCCAAGAAAGCATCGTACACCAATTACATATTTCATTAAACTTAATTTTTTCAAATAACATAATATAACATAATGTTTTGGGACAACATGGGACCTATTGGTCCATCCTCTAAACTAAATTAAAATAATTAAAAAAAAAAAACCTTAAAGCCAG